TATTAGAACCAGTAACACACTTCATTTAGTTTGCTTCAAGAGAGTACTTGGAAGACTTTTCGCCAGATGAAAAGTACCCTGTGCTGTTAGGAGGACCTAGGCTAGTTGGCCATGCCAATGACTCAACCCAGGAACTTAACCTCTCTCTAGTCCCTGTATCCTTTTCAACAGGAAGGGAATTTATTTGAATCATCACAAAAGTATCTTGGGCAGGGAATAAAAATCATATCTTTGAGTATAGAATTTTCAGTTTTTGAATTATAGCCAAGATAGTAAAAAAGCAATGATTTTAAAGAACTCTTTAAACAAATATTTATTTTTATTTATGTGTTTGGGTGTAAAGCTGAATGAATTGGTGTGCACTATATGTATACGGGTGCCCACAGAGGCTAGAGGGCATCTGAAACCCTGGAACTATTTGTAAACTGCCTCATGTGGGTATTGGGACCAGAACCTGGGTCATTTGCAAGAGCAGTCAGTGCTCTTAACCACTGAACCATCTCTCCAGCCCCTTCAATGACTTTTTTAAATAAAAAGGATTAAAATTATATTTCTTGGGGCTTTGGGAAGAATGCTTTGTAAACCAAGCGAGCAGCTGCTTCTGTAAATGCCTCCTGGGTACTTGATCTGTTTAGGGCATCTTTTACAATGGCACATTGCTTCCTGTTCCAGTCATTGTGGGCAAGTGCAGTTTAAAAGTTTATAATTCAGTCATCAGTAGCCAAACACTGTCCATGTAATAGATTGCTTTCTCCCTGGTATTTCTAAGGCAAGAGCTTATTTGTAGAATTGATTGTGTTAACCACAGTGAATAATTAGCCTTTCATAATTAAAATGCTGATAATTATTACCAGATACATAGAGTAGTTCTTCTCTTGAGTTAACTCATTTTGCCCAACAGTGATAAAATAGTGGCAAGAGCTCAGAGAAATTAAATAACCTGCCCAAGGTCAAATAGTTCCTCAATTGCAGAGGTGGATTTGTATGGCGCCAGCTCCAAAATGTAGCTCATGGTGTCTCAGTGTTGCAGCTTCTGCAGACAGTGGGGATCAGCCACCACATTTGACACAGAGGCTCACTGATGAAAATTTAAAGCCAGGCTTACTGTGGAACTGACCCTTATCATCACCCAGGCTCTTGAATCTCAGAGAATTGTGTTTGATTCAGCTTTTAACAGTAATAGTGTCTGCTGTAATTCCCAAAGAGAAGGCTTTAGATATAAAGACCATGTTATATGATGCTATGTATATGAGGGCCCAGAGTAGGCAGATCTGTAGATATAGAAAGCAATCTATCTGGCTGCTGAAGGGCTTCAGCATTGTGAGTGCAGAGTGATGATGGCTGGGCATGAGACTTCTCTTTGAAATGTTCAGAAATTGTGATGAGTTTCACAATTTGAGATAAAAACTTTACCTTTTTTTTTTTTTTTTTTTTTTTTTTTTTTTTTTTTTTTT